GTTTTCGTGGTGTAGTGGATAGCATGGCTGCCTCGTAATCAGTAGACTCGGGTTCGAATCCCGACGGAGACTAGATCATCAACACTTTTTCAATAATTTTCACTCATATTATCATATTGTCAAGATTTTATTTTCAGTGCAATTGTTATCATACATGATCGTCTGTAAATAGACTGTGAACGGGTTCTTCTCTACTTACCACTGAGTGTGTGATTCCTCTTGCACTCACGAATGCTACGGAAAAACGCTCTTCTCACTCTATATATTATTAGCTTTACTCGAGTTCCTTTCGTAAAACTGGGACGCTACATTTTTTATAACGTATATCTGTATAGAATAATGAATTGGAATGTATAGTCAGATTTATGATTAACCTAAATTCGATAAAATCATATCCGGCTCGACAGGTTGAAGACACCGACCGGGGAAAAAGGGTTTGCTAATCACCTAATCCTAATTTGGTAAGTCTCAAACTCAAAAAAAATATTGCTCACCTAATCCTAATTTGGTAATTCTCAAACTCAAAAAAAAAAATTGCTAATCACCTAATCCTAATTTGGTAAGTCTCAAACTCAAAAAAAAAAAATGCCAATCACCTAATCTAATTTGTGTCTCAAAAAAAAATGCTAATTCTAAAGTCTAAAAAAAAAATGCTAATCACCTAATCCTAATTTGGTAAGTCTCAAACTCAAAAAAAAAATTGCTAATCACCTAATCCTAATTTGGTAAGTCTCAAAAAAAATTGCTAATCACCTAATCCTAATTTGGTAAGTCTCAAACTCAAAAAAAAAAAAATTCTAATCACCTAATCCTAATTTGTAAGTCTCAAACTCAAAAAAAAAAAAATGCCAATCACCTAATCCTAATTTGGTAAGTCTCAAAAAAAAATTGCTAATCACCTAATCCTAATTTGGTAAGTCTCAAACTCAAAAAAAAAAAAAATTGCTAATCACCTAATCCTAATTTGGTAAGTCTCAACCAAAAAAAAAAAAAAATTGCTAATCACCTAATCCTAATTTGGTAAGTCTCAAACTCAAAAAAAAAAAAATTGCTAATCACCTAATCCTAATTTGGTAAGTCTCAAACTCAAAAAAAAAAAATTGCTAATCACCTAATCTAATTTGTAAGTCTCAACTCAAAAAAAAAAAAAAATGCTAATCACCTAATCCTAATTTGGTAAGTCTCAAACTCAAAAAAAATTGTCAATCACCTAATCCTAATTTGGTAAGTCTCAAACTCAAAAAAAATTGTAATCCTAATTTGGTAAGTCTCAAACTCAAAAAAAAAAATTGCTAATCACCTAATCCTAATTTGGTAAGTCTCAAACAAACAAAAAAATTGCTAATCACCTAATCCTAATTTGGTAAGTCTCAAACTCAAAAAAATTGCTAATCACCTAATCCTAATTTGGTAAGTCTCAAACAAAAAAATTGTCTAATTTGGTAAGTCTCAAACAAAAAAAAAATTGCTAATCACCTAATCCCAATTTGGTAAGTCTCAAACTAAAAAAAAAAGAAAAAAAAATGCTAATCACCAATCCCAATTTGGTAAGTCTCAAACTCCACATCAGTACACCAGAAGTTGTCCTCGATAATATAGCTTAGTTAATTTCGCTGTGTACACACGAAACATGGTAACTGTAGTTTTATCAAGAATTCAAGTTGAAAGCAACAGGGTTCATAGTTGCATATTCAGCCATGGATCATATCCACACCTTTAACCAGTGTATTGAGAAAACCACTGAATTCAATACAATTTTTGTAGGTTGTGATAAGACCCATGACTAAGTGTAAGAGGCGATTCTACTTCTAGTGAGCTAGTAAGTCGTACACGAATACATATAAGTGAGAATTTTTGCACAAGAACAACAGCATTAACATCATTACTGTTATCATGATTATTATCATTAGGGTAATAGCAAATTACAATATTATGATAATGCTATTTTTTGACATCATTATTTTTATAATGAAGAGGGAAACAGAAATGGAAGATAATGAGTAACATTCTTCCTGAACGTACTTTTTTCCATAGTTAATTTGAAAGAATTCACGATTCTTTTTTTTTTTTTTTTGTGGATGTTACCTTTCCATCTTCGTATAAATGAAAATAGAATGTATAGAGAGACAACATAAAAGGGACGAGAGACTTATTTTTCTTAAATTAAATATTAGTTCCTTTTATGTAGTGGATAGCATGTCTGCCTCTGAAACGGTAGACTCGGGTTCAAATCCTAATGTGGACTATTAATCTACTTTTTTTTACCCATATTTTTACTGCCTACATTTATTACTTTTATAATCACTACTATTATTACTATGCGTAATCGTTATAGAATAGTACCAGACTGTGAACAGTACAGTATACCTGGGAACTGTTACATTATTATTACATCTGAATTTCTATGTATATTAATGTATATTCAGACGTGTCAATTCATACTTAACCTAACATTGTTGGATTCTGATTATGTCTTATTATTATTATTATTATTATTATTATTATTATTATTATTATTATTATTATTATTATTATCATTATTATTATTATTATTATTATTATATATATGTATATTATTATTATTATTATTAAGGAGTGCTAATCACCTCATCTTAAATTGGAACGTCAGACGGTATATCTGTCCACCAGGAAGTTGTGCTCGATGAAAATGCACATTTATTTCGTTGTGTACACACGGAACACGGTAACTAACTGTATCTAGAGTTCAAAGGGAAAGTAAACCACGTACACGACATTGTTCATGAACACTGCACAGCTTTTGTAGGATATGGTATAAACTATGGCGAAGGGACGTAGCAGGGCGTTCGCGAAAATATATGCGAGGATTTTTACAAAGCGGAACAACAGCAGTATCATCACTAATATTATATTAATGATTGTCATTACGACAATGGTAAGTTGTGATGATTATTATATATATGAAATTTGTTAGACAATTATTATTTTCATGATAAAGGAGAAGGAGGGAGGAAGGGAAGGAAAGTGAGAGAGAGAGAATAAAAGACGTTCGTAATTATCATAGTATTATTATCCTGTATCAAATTAGTTCATATATACTCTTACTGACCGCCAAAACACGCCACGTGATATCAAAGTAATGCTGCAAAAGATAAATACAATATTCTTGTAATAACACTGAATATGAATGCGTTTTGAAAAGAGGCGGATCATGAAAATTCCCAATAACATTACTAAACAAAAAAAATTGTACTCCCTCTGTAATGACCCGGTAACTATCACAGGAAAGAAAGGAAAGAGAATGACTGACAAACAGCAAAGGAAATGGGTAGACGCTCCTATATGAATATATATAAATTTAAATATTTAGTACGTAAGTCTCCGTGGTGTAGTGGATAGCATGGCCTCTTAATCAGTGGACTCGGGTTCGAATCCCGACGGAGACAAACCAAAATCATTTTTCTTTATAATTTTGAAACCCATATTTTCGTTGCATACATTTTACTCTCTTATAATCACTATTATAGTCAATACACTTAATCGTTACTGAATAGTATTAGGCTATGAACAGGATTAACCTACCAACGAACGTTTTATTTTGGTGTTACTACCCACGAATTATGCAGAAAAATGCTCTTAATTCATATTTTGTCTTTCATCTAGTAACTATACTACAGTCGGGAATTATCGCCTTTGTATTATAGGCGAATTTCAATAAAATGAACGATGGGAATGTATGTTAACGTTGAAGATACAAAATGATACTCTGAATGTTAATGATAGCAAGGGTGATGGTGGCGGTGGCGAGTTTTAGGCCACAACATTTTTTGATTTTTTGTTTTTTTTTCTTTCTTTTTCTTTTTCTTGAATAGCAGGCAAGTCTGGTGATAATGAAATGGCGGGAGGAAAATAATCCCCAGCTCCAAAATAAGACAAGTGTACCTCCTCCCTTCCAAAGATCAGAAGTAAAGGAATGTCTCAGTTCCAGCTCTTACTACTCTTACTACTCTTACTACTATTCTTTTGATAGCGAAGACAATAAAAACAAAATGACAGCAATGATAAGATCGACACACGCCTTGTAAATGAATAATTATTTGCAGATTTCTGAAATACCAAGAAAATAATAACAAATGTGGCGTGAAGTTAAAGGTACGAGAGTTTATTTACAGCTTTGACGTCTTTGAAATCCGTAACAGGGACACTGACGCCGCGAAAAATAACCTTTAATAATACCACGCCGTCCCTGTCTGTATATATGTACGCCTCTTTCCTTTTATTTCTCTCTCTCTCTCTCTCTCTCTCTCTCTCTCTCTCTCTCTCTCTCTCTCTCTCTCTCTCTATATATATATATATATATATATATATTATATATATATGTGTGTGTGTGTGTGTGTGTGTGTGTGTGTGTGTGTGTGTGTGTGTGTGTGTGTGTGTGTGTGTGTGTGTGTGTGTGTTGTGTGTGTGTGTGTGTTTATAATCTCTTTTTTGTTGATATCAGTTAATGAATCATGTACATAGCAATTTTATCTCATCTTTAATGTCTTCCTATCTATGCAATTGTGTATGCATGTATTTATCTATCAGAAGACTTGTTTCTCGATGATTTTCTTTTTTCCAGTTTCCTTTTGTCTCCGTTTCTTCTTTTCTTCTTCTTTTCTTCTGCTGTATTGTAATTCTTGTACTTTTACTGATATCTCCATCATGAATATAATTTTCATTACTTCCATTACGCCAACTAAACTAATTATCATCCGTATGTTTATTATTGAGGTAATTAAAGTGATTGCTGTCGTTATTATCGTAACCATTTCGATTTCAACCATTATCGCACCATCGTGATCATCACCNAACACCAGATTTTGTAGATAGTGATAAGACCCATGACTAAGTGTAAGAGGTATTCTACTTTTCTAGTGAGCTAGTAAAGTGTACACGAATACATACGAGTGAGATTTTTTTGCACAAGAACAACAGCATTAACATCATTACTGTTATTCATAATTATTATCATTAGGGTAATAGCAAATTACAGTAACTATTATGATAATGATATTTTTTGACATTATTATTTTTATAATGAAGAGGGAAAC